ATGACTTACTTAATTCTTTTCTTCTGTTGTTTGTTATTTAAGGTTTTTGACATTTTTAAGGAGATTATATTATGGTAATTTAGAACTAAATATAGGAAATATTGGTAGTTTGTGGTCAAGTTTGTTTATGATAATGAAAGTTGGAGTGGTTGTTTTTTTAACAACATGAAAAAAATATTGCCTTTGACTAAATCCTTTTGTTTGTTTTTCTTTTAGTTTCTATCCCTATCCAAAGATAAGATTCAGAAATCAAATTTAAAGCAAAACAAAATTTCTTTGATCTGTGTGCAGATATTAGTCTTTTATATTTCAGTTACAAGATGACTGGAAGGTTGTAAAGTTCTCCAGATTCTGAGAAAAAAAGTGTCCATTTGGTGTACAAGCTGTGATAATTAGTGAGATACTGCAGGTAATGGGGCTTGAAATTAGGAGTGGCTCGTAAGAAAAGTATATGAGAAATGCAGGGCAGTATCAGAAGAGCCAAGGCAGGATGGGTACAGGGAAGCAGAGAAGTGAGATTGCCAATATGTACATCAAAGGCAGAGGACAAGGGTGAGATCAGGGAAGGTCACTTGATGCTAGGCTGTCCAGACAAATAGTGGAGTTAGATGTTTTCTAAAGGGCCAGTGAGGATTAAAAACCAGTTTTGTTTAGAGATTGCTTAGGAAAGCAAGTTAAAATGAGAACACAGACAAGACAGTTGCTCACATTCTAGGAGAGTACATATTTAAGGTACAGAATGCACGGGAAGCACATTTGTGATTGAACTCTGAGGAGAGGGTTAGCAGCCATGTGCTATCTACCCAATGGGCACTTTCAACTCCTCTTGTGGTCCCCACTGAAAAACATACAGGAGAGTTTTATACTGTAGTCCTAAGACCCACTCAAATTACATGTATATTTTGATATTTAGGGATTATTTTCCCAAACTCGATTATTTTTATATTTGATCATTTTATTTATTTGGAATGGTGTGTTTTACAAATTCATGTTATTCTGAAACATACTCTCACATTAGTCCTTCAAAAATCATTTGTAAACAATTTCATAGTATCCAAATATAGAGATTTACTGTAAGGTATCCAATGTTTAACTTTTAATTCTAAAACAATAATTTTTCTAGAGTCAATACTCACAAAGGTTATGACCTTTATCATTTTCCACCACACTTTATATTAAACATTTGGGTATCGCAGTTTAATAAGGATCAGGATAAACAAATAGGCTGAACAGATGCTTATTCAGGGAGAAATAACTTGCAACTTAGACAGATGAACGCCAGCAGGTTCCACCGGATGCTCTCCTCTCAGAGTCCAGACAGGGAGAGAGCAGCCGTCCAGGGCTCCTCCTCAGACCTAGTTCCACAGGTCACTTCCTCCCCTGGCTCCATCCCCCCAATGGGCGTGGTCAGTGCCACAGAAGCAGATAAAGTGAATATTTCACTACACTTGGGTTACTTAGTATTTCCTAGGAATAAATAAAATATATCTTAAAATGTTTAAAGCACTAGTTTTTGCTACGATGGAGCTCATACATTAAGACTACATTTTGTGGAATGAGTACCCAACTTGTTTTGTACAGATACCAATAGTAATGACTGGTACTTCTCAAAGTAGTACTACTTCATCTATCAGGACAGTGAGAGCTAGTACAAGTTACTCCTTAGGAGCCTCCACTCCATATATTGTGAAAACTGCAGAATCTGTGACCATAGCAAGAGTTTAATGTCACAGGCAACAACACGGTGATTTTGCAAGCCCAAGGGCCAGCAGACTCACTTGATTCCTGTTTTGTGTTTTTTGTTTGTTTGTTCTTACATGCTATGCTTTCTTTTCCTAATATAAATTTAATTATATCATTTCCCCAGTGCTTTTTTCTCCAACCCTTCTCATATACCTCCAACCCTTCTCATAAACCTCTGTCTCCCCTTTCAAATTTACAACTCTGGCTCCTTTTCCTTTAATTGTTGTTTCTATCCCTCATTCCCTCTGCTCAGTCCATACTTGTACATTTTATATCCAATGCCTGCCTCTGTATTACTCCTGGAAATCAAAATCCTGGAATAAGTCTAAAATGTTTTCTACTCCACATTGTTCCAGTTGCTTCCAGATGTGATCTCTGGGCAATTCTCTGCTTCTGAGGCTCCCAGCATGACTTCATTCACACCTTTCTAATCCAGGACTCTTGTCACTCCTAATCTAGGAACTCTTATGTTATTGACATCAGTTTGGTTGGAACTGTGTTGACTTATGTGAAACTCATTAAGCACAAACCCAGACACTTTCAAAAGGAAGTTCACAAATAATAAGTACTATGATTTACTGCACAGAATTTTGCCTCACAGATTTATGCTAGTACACAATAATAGTCCAGCATGTATTTAAGATTAGATACAATTGAATTATTAGTCAGAAAATACAAGATTGTTTCAATGGATCAGTCCAACTGAGATTAGCTTCCTAATAATTAAATAGTTTAATGTGTATACTTTGTGAATAGTTTTTTTCTGTGTAGTTATCCAAAGACAGGGGAGTCTTTAGTTTTATCATTCTGTTAACTTTGGCTATCATTCTGCAGAATTGTTTCCGCTTTGTTTGGATGTCATACCTAGAATTACATGCAACAAACCTTCATTCCCAAACTGTGCTTAAGTACCCCACCTGCCATATCTCACCTATTTTAACTTGTGTTTTCAAGAAAACTCAGTGATATGCTATGTTTTAGAAGCGACATGAATGATTTATGCAGGACAGTCTGGGTTTCAGCATTGGATCATACTGCACTCCTTCTGACACCATAGCATCCTCACATCACTAGAAGAGTCCCTAAAATGCCAAGTTCAGAGTCCTGGGGACAAGGGAGAGTTTGTTGTTCTTGCAGAGGACCAGAGTTCATTTACCAGCATCCATATGCTCACAACCTATTGTAAGCCCAGGTCCAGAGGATCTGATGTCCTCTTCCAACCTCCTCAGGCATCTGCATGCACATGTGTACACACACACACACACATACACCACCACCACCACCACCACCAAAAACAACAACAACAGCAACAACAACAATAAAAACAAACAGGTACATGGAAGAAGGGAGGTGGGAATCTTCCTGCATGCATAACTGTGCTATGAAGCTAAAACTGCATATAAAAATAACAAAATATGCTTTAAAAATAAAATAGTGGCCCATTAAGAAGGTGGGAATGTGCTGGCTAAGCAAGCCTGGGCAGTTTTGTTTGTTTGTTTCTGTTTTTGTTTTGTTTTAACTTTATCCAGATTCTTTGTGGATTTCATGCATCCAAATCCCATTCATCTCCACATGCCCAGTTTGGTCCTTGCAATACACGTAAAGTTGGAAGAAGAGAGCAGATATAACAACCAACGTTGTCCTCTGACTTTCACTTGCGCATCATGGCCTGAGAACTCATGCACAAGCATCATGTATACATAATAATAACTAGTAACATGAAAAATTAGAAATGCAAAAATAAATCAAGCATCACATGAAAATCTAAGTGAAGCAGCAAGTAAGGTGGGGATTATTTAGAAATAAAATAAATGTGATCTATGCATGTTTTATATTTTTTAAAAAAATATTATTGCATAAGATATTAATATTTGCTAAAGCTATTTGTAAACAACACAATAAGCATAATTATTTCTTTTTCAAACAGCACAGTGATGGACAAGTTTATTTAGTTAACACAAATAGTTTCTCAGATATGGACAGTGATAGTCTAGATTAACCTGGGTGAGGAAATCTCTACATTGTTAGCAAAATAGGTTCTGGCCCCAACAATTGCAGCTACTTCCTAGACAAATATTCCAGGCATCCATGCTTGTTTAAATGCCACTTGTATTTACTGCTTTTTGAAATGAGAACCATGAAACCTCTTACTTTTTAAATACATTTTGAAATTTCAGTTTCTCATGTTCCTTCCCACTCCAATACATCCCATCCCATTACTAAACAGAATCGAGCTGAGAGGTGAGAACATTCTTTGCCTGGGAATAAACCAAGACCTCATATTAAAGGCTCCTTTTTCTTCATAAGTCAGAAGGGCAACAAAAGACTCAAACATTTATTTAACCAAATAAAAATGGTATGAAAATAACGAAGTAGGTAGGTATTAAAATGTCAATCCCCCCCCCCCACTGATGTAAGATGATTTCATTTTAACAGGTAAGTGTTAGAATGGAAGAGAGGCTTGCAAAGAGGCATTCTCTAAAACACAATATAGCTACATTAGCCAGGATAGATAGCATGTATCTGGCAACAACTCTTCCTTTCCTGAGCCATGAAAGGCTAGGGTATAGTGGCTTTCAAAAACATGCAACAGACTTTAAACCAACCACTGTATTAATTAATCATGTTTATTCAAAGTATGTATTCTTAACATCCAAAGTACTTAATGGGGATTAATAATAATAAAAAAAAAGAATCAGTAAAGAACCAGTTCACTTTTCCTGCACCCCAGACTTCAGCTGCAGGCTCTAAGGGAAATAGTCTAAAAGTGTCACTGTCCCAAGAACTACAGAAAACTGCCACCCAAGAATAAACTGCCAAAATAAAGTAAATACAGTGTGTCTATGTCATTCATACCAGATAACTCCAAAGAGATACCTTATGAAAAAATTAAAATCTATTAAATCCACTTAAAATACTTAAATGCTGAAATCTCAGTTTTCCTTCAATTGGGCCAGACGCCACCACAGACATTGTGGTCAGAGTTCCACTGACGAGTGGAATGTTTTAAGCTGAGGCCAACCAACAAAGCCCTATGGACTTTCCAATATAATCATTTACTCAGGCATACTGTAAATAAGGACTGTGGCAACACAGGAAGCAAAAGTCAGTTTGCAAGCGAAATTTCTGGAAGCTCATGAAAACAATACCATCCCAAAATGCAAGTGGAAAAGCAAAAGGTTAAGAGTTTTTTTCTGGTCATCTTCAGTCATTTCATCGTGCACAGTGTTTAACAATCCCTATTTCTCACATCAACATTAGTCCACAGGAGGGGTAGGGTGGTCCTGTCCACTGTGAGGACTGGGGGGTTTCCCAGGGAGGCTGGAGCCTCTCAGATTAGGAGGTCTCGGTAAGAACAGAAGCACTGTGATCACCATCCAGGCCATCAGGATCACAGTAATGCTGATGCTGATGTCACCGGAGGGTCCTGGTAACTTCCGGAGGCACTCTGTGCAGTAGGACTGGGACTGCCAAAGCAGATTGATCAGTCTTCTCACCGTATGTTCATGAGAACGAACACATTCACAGGGATCAAATCCACCTCCAGCCATGGTTACCCAGCTTGATCTTACTCAACTATTTAAATCTTTTATTTTGTTTTGTTTTGTTTGTTTTGTGAGACAGGGTTTCTCTGTGTAGCCTGGAGGTCCTAGAACTCAAACTCAAGAAACCTGTATGCATCATAGTTATTTCTTTTGGCTTAGAAATAAAACAATAACTCTGAAAGTGGCATGATCCAAAAGTATTTGGGAGACAGATGGGCAGTATCAAATCCCTCAGCACTAAAAGACATCATGGCATGATGTTTTTCATCTTTCTGGCCTTTGAAGTTTGTACTTCAACTGTTTGTTACTGCTATTTTCTAAGAAAAACCCACTTACATTATTATCTCTGGGGAGGATATAGTGTAGCAATGGCCCACACAATACAGGGCTTAATTTTATATTTACAGTGATTTTTGTTTGTATTTTTATCTTTTCTATATCTGTCTATACTGTGTAATATCTGTGTAATCTTGGCACACGTACAAGTAATATAGTTTTGTATATGTATACCCCTCAGTTTGCTGTAAAAGTAGGAAAAGCAGATGAATGTATAGTGGTTTGTGCCAGAGCTTTTTATGGAAATCTTAAGTGGCTATATAACTAGTAGGTTCTACGTTCTCTATCTTACACATGTTTTAAGGCATTGTTCAAATATAGCATTCTGACTCTTCAATAGTTTCTTCTCTAAGGTTCTGCCTAAAACTTGAAACAGGACCAAGGCCTGCAACATATGCATTCCCTTGCCCCTACAAACATTATAAACCACGTACAGAGTAATAACATTAACAATAAAATAGACTGTGGTAACAATATTTCACAAGGAACTCTATACATGTATCCATACACTTCAGTGTTTGTCATAGTATACTCATCTTTCTATGCATATGGGATGAAGATGGTCCCATTTCTGTGTAATGAGATTAAGTGAGATGCATGATGTGGGGTTATAGTTACACCACAGGACTACTGTAAAAGCACTGTGACCCTGCCACAATTCAACTCATAACAGAGGATTACTGAGTAAGCATCAGAAGAGTAGACAAATACAGTAATGTAGTGTGAGTACATAAGAGAGAAGAATCTGTCACAAATTCTTTCAAATTGAAACATTTGCTCTTAGAGAAAGGGAAGGAGGCTCAGGAGGCTAAAGGTGCAATCTCAGAAACAAAGTAAGAGTCATAAGCCATCTTCCTAAGATTATCCAAATAGTAAACAGTTGCTGGGAGAGAAGAGATCTTCTGTGGGTCTGTCCATAAATTGAGCAGAGTGTTGCAGTGTTGCATCTTTTGTGACATTGCCCAGGAGCAGCAGAGCCTTTAGGTAAATTAGAAGCCTTTGACCATGCATTTGTACAGTCTGCTTTCCCATGTTCCTGTAAGCAACCCTAAGAAACTACATTTGAGTGACTTATTTCTTCTTTTCTGTAACCAGTAACCTATCTGTGGTCAACTGAAGCTTGTTCATGTCTACTCCAGGTCCAACACGCATCTTGGGTGGAACAGCGTGGGATTCCATCATTTTTCTCCACATAGCACACAGGTTAGGTTAAAACACACAGTTTGTTTCATTCTAGGAAATTCTGTCCTTTAAATATTTTTAGAACATGGTTGAACATGAATATCAGAAACTTTGGGACATGAAGATATGGTGCAGAAGGGAGTGCTCTAGACAGTTTTCAGAGAGATATTTTGATTGGCAAATACAGATTGCAGACAGCATTATATTCCCTTTTGAGCACAAAAGTGTAGGGACTGCCTTCAGCATGAAGATTCGTAGTAATTCCCTCAGACTTATTCTCAGAAACGAAGCCAATTTTATTTAGCATCTTCTGTATGCCAAGCACTGTGCTATTATCTGCTATTATTTTATGAACACCTTACAACTTGTGCTGGGAAATATGATTTTGTTTATTTCACAGATAAGAAAGTGGAAGTTCATTTTTGGAATTGCCTGGTGACATGAATGCTTTAAAAATTCAATGTCAGGCTACAATAACTATTTACTGTATTTGTTTGCATGAAATATCCAGAAGTGAAGAAATAAGATGAGTGGTTTCCCAAGGCTAAGAATATGAGATTGGGAGTTTGTGTATGATGGGAATGGAGATGACTAGTGCTTGCTGATTGATGGGAAATGTCATTCTGTATATGTTTCTCATACTGGCTAATGAATAAAGCACTGTTGGCCAATAGGAAAGAAAGATAGGAGGGACTAGGAGATTAGGAGGGGAGAGGAAGTAGGAAGGAGGAGTCAAGATGGAGAGTCTGGAGAAATCAGAATGCCGGCTCGCTCCCCGGTAAGAGAAGAACAAGTGGAAATACTAGATTAGCAGAAATGGCAGAGCTAACCGATAAGAAACTAGTACCTGGCCAACAGCATCATATCAAATACAGAGCGTCTGTGCGTTAATTGGGGCTGGTGCGGCGGCGGGACAAGACCAGTGGCAGGAGGAAAAACCTTACTCCTTACATCTGATGGATGTGAATTTCTGTGAATATGCAAAACTTTGACAAGTTGTACATTATAAAATGTTTAATTTTGTGGTCTGTAGACTCTGTTTTAATAAGGTTATTTTAAAGCCCCAAATTTTTAGCCTAAATGACACTTTTAAAAATATACTTCAGAGTATTGGGACATGTATGTTTGCTATGTGGGAGAATGTATTTCTTGTGGGATTGCTTCTCTTGGAAATATATGATGCTTTCCAGAGCTACAACTCAAAGACCTGTGTAAATGTATCAAGGCTGGAAAAGGATACCACTCAAATCCAGCAGTCCCAGATCTAGAGTGAGGCTAACACATGATCTCCCCCCCCCCATAGGTAGGTAGGTATGTGTGTGTATGTGTGTGTGTGTAAACTTACCAGGGCATTCAGCAGTGAGGGTGTATTTCTGGGAGTATTGAAGGATGAAGGTCCATCCAGAGGAAACCCTTTTAAGGATGTGATGGTTTTCCTCATAATGTCTGAAGAGATGCACTTATGGTTTAAACCTACCTTCTGGGTTTCAAGTTGCTGGGAATCTTCTTTCTTCTCATCATTGTTTGATTACCAAGGAACTACTAATCCAGGCCAGACATTCCTCACTGCCCACATTTCTTTCTACTTCAGAATGCATAGCTAATAGCAACCAATTACTTTTCCTATTTTCTCACTTGGAATCTGTTTTGGGAGCTGGAAAATGCTATAGTACAAAATCGGTCCCATCTGTGACAAGGAGCCAAATGGTGGTGGTAGCAGGCTGGGGAGCTTTTTCTGTACTCCGAGAAACTTACTCCAGAGTATTTACCGGTAATGCTTCCTCAGACTTTTCAAATGTCTCTTCAGACCTCTTCCTTTTCCTAGGACAGCAAAGACAGTTTTGTGTTTAAAAGGTCAAGTTACTTAGAGGAACCTGAACAGTCTTCTGGGAACTTCCTGTCTCAAATACATGAGCATACCTCTGAAAGTACCCCAGATCTGCTTCATGATCAATTTCATGTTGCCAATATTTGCCTCTCACTATTTGAACTGGTCCTTCTAGAAGTGGAGCTCAGGACCTGAATGCTGCAGCCTTTTGTGTGTGGCCAAGCAGACCTAGTGGTGCTAGAGATGCAGCATTAAATATTATAAAGAAGACATTCCTGTGTCCTTCAGCCATCTCCAAGAAGTTTTGTGTCAGGTTCAGACAGAGTTTTGTATTGGGAAACATTCCCAAAGTACAAGGAGGTTGGATGCCTTTAAGAAAGCCAAGAGAAGTGAGTGAGCCTTTAAATTTTACTGCATGGTTTGCTTTGGATTATTTTCCTCTTGTTTGTTTAATCATCAATCTCTTCTTTACTCTTTGGTTAGGACTGGTGCTCTCCTATATCTGCCATTTTATAGACAAGGGAAGTTTAATGGTAAAAAGGACAGTTTTGTTTCCGGAGAACTAATTTTGTTGTTTCTGAAGAGACAGTCCCTCTGTCCTTTGAGCAGATAACAAAAGTGTCATTATCTGGGTTTGAAACCAGCTGATGAATTATTCATGCCACCAGCTATGACACTGAGTCTCCACACAGGAGGGAGTGACTTGTGTTTTTGTCTCATGAAGGTGAAAAGTGCTTTTGTAGACATTTCAGGTACACCTGCATGCTGCAGGCAATCAGGTGTGATGTATTCTTGACACACATCCTTTCTCTTCATTCTCCAGGCTGAGATTTTAAGGTAGAATCCTCCTGATATTTTGCCGTCTTTTGTGTGATAGACACAATTTTTAAATTACCGCACTAGGTAAACGAGGGAACATAATCGTAAGTTATATATGATTAAAGATCTGACACTAAGGATCACATTAATATCTAAATTGTTGCTTGCAGGTGCACACGTTAAAAATGAGGAACTGTTAAGAATTGAAACAGTATTCATGAGGAGCCTGAACTATCCAGATAAAAATCATTGGAGAATTTGGTCTGTGTTAAGCTCTTAACATTAACATCTTGCTAATAAGGAAACTGAGTCTTCCCTAGGCCAAATACCAATCAGTAATTGGTACCACTAAAAACTGTATAACATGACTCCAAAGCCCATGATGGTCACGACACAACAGCCTTTCAAATACTTATGTTGTGACAATCAGGAGACTCAGTGTTGGGAGAATAAAGACAGTATTAACATTGCTGTTTCCTGTGGGAATGGACACTTGAGACTTACAGACTTTAATTACATTGTTTATTCATTTACTAGAAGAGAATCAGTGAAACACAGGGCTGTACACTCCATGGTTTGAGGACTATAACTTCAGAAACAAAGTTGAGGATATAAGGCACTCCATCCATGATGGAATCTGAATGCTGAGATAGGGTTAGGTAATTGATCTGGAAGGTTTTGACACTGTTTGTAGAATGTAAAGAAAGGAAAGAGGCATGAAACAGATTATGAAGGAAAAAGGAAGGTCTACAAATCGAACAAATGTGACTTAAACATTTTCATTATTAGGAAAATTTGCTGTGTCAAGGCATTCTTGGAGTCAGTCTTTCATTCATTCTTCATGTAAACTGTTTGAATTCAGTACTGCTCAGTGTAG